TGAGAATTTAAATCCAGTTGTTTTATTACAAGTAAGTGTTCATATTAAGAAAATGGGAAATGTTCTAGTCGTTTGAAAGATGAAAAAGCAATGGTATTTAAACGGATCTTTTTTACAGATTCAGTCAAGATCTGACAGCGTACAACCTGATTTGGAATTACAAGGTGAGTCTCGATCAACTGAAATAGGTTAGTGATAAGCCTTATACTGCTCTAGCTTTTTAACAGTTCTTCTTAAAGCGCCCCCCCTATCCCTTGATCGCAATCAAACTCAGTAACGTATCTCTCCTATCAGGCGACTATTATTTGAGAGTCTTGTTGGAACAAAACGACAGGGAGACGCCGATAACAAATGTGTGAGTCCACGACATTTATCTATCAGGATTTGCAAATATTCAAACTACTGTCTTTTCACAACAGTTGATATTTAAGAGGTTTAAAGCGTCTTAATTTTGAGAAGTATTATACACACTTCAATTCAAGCCAGGAACAGTTGATGGAAAAATGAGTCAACTATAGATCCTCCGGCAGGAATCGCTTTTGCGATGCCGGTGCAATGCTCTTGTCACTGAGAACGTATAGTTGACTAATTTTTCCATCAACTGTTCCTGGCTTGAATTTGAAGTGTGTATAATACCACACGAAATTAAGACCCTTTAAAACCTCTAGAATATTCCTGCACCGTGTGAAGTGCCTAAAATCATCTGTTGATATTTATTTAGAACTTCACTTTAGGAAGCTGATGAAGAAACCGCGGCAAAAATACAAGATTTGGCGCTTGCCAAGGGCGCTCTACCAAAACGCTTACGCATGGCCATGATTACGCAAAGCACTGATAGACGTTCGCTACTGAACAGGTGCGAATTAGTGTGATAAATTAACAAATTGTTGCAGATGTATAGCCTCGATTCCATTCCGGAGGACCTGAGTTGTATTTTAGCAACATTCTTAGATTCATCTTAAAACTTGTGATTTTATAATCCTCTATATACTAGCCATCTGTAAATAGTTCAATTGAGACTAACAAGCATACTCCATAAGTAATTTATAATCTTTATTGTTGGCATATAGGCAATTGAGTGGACATCTAGTGGCTCTCTGGACAACTGGTCATCCAAGAGCAATGGCATTACTTGTGAGAATAATGTTCGTATTAAAGCAGTTATAGTTTTTAATGTCTAAAATATACAATAAAGTTTAAATGCGGGATTTCCTGTTCGTAAGTTTTGGTTCATAAACCATTATGTAATAAATTTGAATACGATTTTCACAGCCTGCTGGTTTGCTCTATTACCTTGAAAGCCCTGACGAGGTAGGAAATCTTTGAGAATTTTTTGCGAGGGCCATTATTTACATAAACCCATTGCAGTGGTTCTGACTAACCAATCATAATAGTGACTAAGTGGTATCAACTGCTTTGGTAACTAAACTCCATCATTCATCCTTATACTGTGCCAACTGCCCCACTGACGAAATAATTAAATAGTAATTCATTCAGAAGTGTAAAACCTTTTTGTAAAGAAGCAATTTTGTTGGAAAGTTTTTATCTTTCCTTCAGCCACCGGAGACTAAAGAAGATCATTTATCAATTCGTGACAATGTAAAGCTTGCAGAGTACGTTTTAAAGCAACAATCGTGTTCCAAAATTTCATGATGCATGCTTGTATGTACGTATAAGCCTGTTATTTCACGCGCTATACTTGTCTGTTACAGCTCAGGAAAAGCGAGAGGAACGTCAAGGAATCAACTTGAAGGATATCCCTCGCATTGGAGACAAAAATAGGATTCAAAGCCAGGAGAGATGTGAGAATTTAAATCCAGTTGTTTTATTACAAGTAAGTGTTCATATTAAGAAAATGGGAAATGTTCTAGTCGTTTGAAAGATGAAAAAGCAATGGTATTTAAACGGATCTTTTTTACAGATTCAGTCAAGATCTGACAGCGTACAACCTGATTTGGAATTACAAGGTGAGTCTCGAAGTTAAAGTTAGTTTCCATTGAAAATATAGGAAATGAAAAGGTAATAGAGAATTTCCTGTCGCTATGAGTATAACAAGACAATTCAATAGTCCTGACCTCTTTCTCTAAACTGTTGTCGTAAAAGAGTATGAAAAAATTTCTTTTGTTTTCAATGTGACAGACGCGAGAGGAACTTCTGGGGCTCTCGAATCTGAGATGCGCAAATTTGCAATGGAAAAAGACCTGAGTGGAAACTACGTTGTTTTTTGGAATCACCTTTAGTTTGAAGTCCTGCATGAATGTTTAGCTGATCAACTGAAAATAGGTTAGTGATAAGCCTTATACTGCTCTAGCTTTTTAACAGTTCTTCTTAAAGCGCCCCCCCTATCCCTTGATCGCAATCAAACTCAGTAACGTATCTCTCCTATCAGGCGACTATTATTTGAGAGTCTTGTTGGAACAAAACGACGGGGAGACGCCGATAACAAATGTGTGAGTCCACGACATTTATCTATCAGGATTTGCAAATATTCAAACTACTGTCTTTTCACAACAGTTGATATTTAAGAGGTTTTAAAGCGTCTTAATTTTGAGAAGTATTATACACACTTCAATTCAAGCCAGGAACAGTTGATGGAAAAATGAGTCAACTATAGATCCTCCGGCAGGAATCGCTTTTGCGATGCCGGTGCAATGCTCTTGTCACTGAGAACGTATAGTTGACTAATTTTTCCATCAACTGTTCCTGGCTTGAATTTGAAGTGTGTATAATACCACACGAAATTAAGACCCTTTAAAACCTGTAGAATATTCCTGCACCGTGTGAAGTGCCTAAAATCATCTGTTGATATTTATTTAGAACTTCACTTTAGGAAGCTGATGAAGAAACCGCGGCAAAAATACAAGATTTGGCGCTTGCCAAGGGCGCTCTACCAAAACGCTTACGCATGGCCATGATTACGCAAAGCACTGATAGACGTTCGCTACTGAACAGGTGCGAATTAGTGTGATAAATTAACAAATTGTTGCAGATGTATAGCCTCGATTCCATCCGGAGGACCTGAGTTGTATTTTAGCAACATTCTTAGATTCATCTTAAAACTTGTGATTTTATAATCCTCTATATACTAGCATCTGTAAATAGTTCAATTGAGACTAACAAAGCATACTCCATAAGTAATTTTATAATCTTTATTGTTGGCATATAGGCAATTGAGTGGACATCTAGTGGCTCTCTGGACAACTGGTCATCCAAGCAATGGCATTACTTGTGAGAATAATGTTCGTATTAAAGCAGTTATAGTTTTTAATGTCTAAAATATACAATAAAGTTTAAATGCGGGATTTCCTGTTCGTAAGTTTTGGTTCATAAACCATTATGTAATAAATTTGAATACGATTTTCACAGCCTGCTGGTTTGCTCTATTACCTTGAAAGCCCTGACGAGGTAGGAAATCTTTGAGAATTTTTTGCAGGGCCATTATTTACATAAACCCATTGCAGTGGTTCTGACTAACCAATCATAATAGTGACTAAGTGGTATCAACTGCTTTGGTAACTAAACTCCATCATTCATCCTTATACTGTGCCAACTGCCCCACTGACGAAATAATTAAATAGTAATTCATTCAGAAGTGTAAAACCTTTTTGTAAAGAAGCAATTTGTTGGAAAGTTTTTATCTTTCCTTCAGCTACCGGAGACTAAAGAAGATCATTTATCAATTCGTGACAATGTAAAGCTTGCAGAGTACGTTTTAAAGCAACAATCGTGTTCCAAAATTTCATGATGCATGCTTGTATGTACGTATAAGCCTGTTATTTCACGCGCTATACTTGTCTGTTACAGCTCAGGAAAAGCGAGAGGAACGTCAAGGAATCAACTTGAAGGATATCCCTCGCATTGGAGACAAAAATAGGATTCAAAGCCAGGAGAGATGTGAGAATTTAAATCCAGTTGTTTTATTACAAGTAAGTGTTCATATTAAGAAAATGGGAAATGTTCTAGTCGTTTGAAAGATGAAAAAGCAATGGTATTTAAACGGATCTTTTTTACAGATTCAGTCAAGATCTGACAGCGTACAACCTGATTTGGAATTACAAGGTGAGTCTCGAAGTTAAAGTTAGTTTCCATTGAAAATATAGGAAATGAAAAGGTAATAGAGAATTTCCTGTCGCTATGAGTTAACAAGACAATTCAATAGTCCTGACCTCTTTCTTAAACTGTTGTCGTAAAAGAGTATGAAAAAATTTCTTTTGTTTTCAATGTGACAGACGCGAGAGGAACTTCTGGGGCTCTCGAATCTGAGATGCGCAAATTTGCAATGGAAAAAGACCTGAGTGGAAACTACGTTTTTTTTGGAATCACCTTTAGTTTGAAGTCCTGCATGAATGTTTAGCTGATCAACTGAAAATAGGTTAGTGATAAGCCTTATACTGCTCTAGCTTTTTAACAGTTCTTCTTAAAGCGCCCCCCCCTATCCCTTGATCGCAATCAAACTCAGTAACGTATCTCTCCTATCAGGCGACTATTATTTGAGAGTCTTGTTGGAACAAAACGACGGGGAGACGCCGATAACAAATGTGTGAGTCCACGACATTTATCTATCAGGATTTGCAAATATTCAAACTACTGTCTTTTCACAACAGTTGATATTTAAGAGGTTTTAAAGCGTCTTAATTTTGAGAAGTATTATACACACTTCAATTCAAGCCAGGAACAGTTGATGGAAAAATGAGTCAACTATAGATCCTCCGGCAGGAATCGCTTTTGCGATGCCGGTGCAATGCTCTTGTCACTGAGAACGTATAGTTGACTAATTTTTCCATCAACTGTTCCTGGCTTGAATTTGAAGTGGGTATAATACCACACGAAATTAAGACCCTTTAAAACCTCTAGAATATTCCTGCACCGTGTGAAGTGCCTAAAATCATCTGTTGATATTTATTTAGAACTTCACTTTAGGAAGCTGATGAAGAAACCGCGGCAAAAATACAAGATTTGGCGCTTGCCAAGGGCGCTCTACCAAAACGCTTACACATGGCCATGATTACGCAAAGCACTGATAGACGTTCGCTACTGAACAGGTGCAAATTAGTGTGATAAATTAACAAATTGTTGCAGTGTATAGCCTCGATTCCATCCGGAGGACCTGAGTTGTATTTTAGCAACATCTTAGATTCATCTTAAAACTTGTGATTTTATAATCCTCTATATACTAGCCATCTGTAAATAGTTCAATTGAGACTAACAAGCATACTCCATAAAAATTTATAATCTTTATTGTTGGCATATAGGCAATTGAGTGGACATCTAGTGGCTCTCTGGACAACTGGTCATCCAAGAGCAATGGCATTACTTGTGAGAATAATGTTCGTATTAAAGCAGTTATAGTTTTTAATGTCTAAAATATATATAAAGTTTAAATGCGGGATTTCCTGTTCGTAAGTTTTGGTTCATAAACCATTATGTAATAAATTTGAATACGATTTTCACAGCCTGCTGGTTTGCTCTATTACCTTGAAAGCCCTGACGAGGTAGGAAATCTTTGAGAATTTTTTGCGAGGGCCATTATTTACATAAACCCATTGCAGTGGTTCTGACTAACCAATCATAATAGTGACTAAGTGGTATCAACTGCTTTGGTAACTAAACTCCATCATTCATCCTTATACTGTGCCAACTGCCCCACTGACGAAATAATTAAATAGTAATTCATTCAGAAGTGTAAAACCTTTTTGTAAAGAAGCAATTTTGTTGGAAAGTTTTTATCTTTCCTTCAGCTACCGGAGACTAAAGAAGATCATTTATCAATTCGTGACAATGTAAAGCTTGCAGAGTACGTTTTAAAGCAACAATCGTGTTCCAAAATTTCATGATGCATGCTTGTATGTACGTATAAGCCTGTTATTTCACGCGCTATACTTGTCTGTTACAGCTCAGGAAAAGCGAGAGGAACGTCAAGGAATCAACTTGAAGGATATCCCTCGCATTGGAGACAAAAATAGGATTCAAAGCCAGGAGAGATGTGAGAATTTAAATCCAGTTGTTTTATTACAAGTAAGTGTTCATATTAAGAAAATGGGAAATGTTCTAGTCGTTTGAAAGATGAAAAAGCAATGGTATTTAAACGGATCTTTTTTACAGATTCAGTCAAGATCTGACAGCGTACAACCTGATTTGGAATTACAAGGTGAGTCTCGAAGTTAAAGTTAGTTTCCATTGAAAATATAGGAAATGAAATGGTAATAGAGAATTTCCTGTCGCTATGAGTATAACAAGACAATTCAATAGTCCCGACCTCTTTCTCTAAACTGTTGTCGTAAAAGTGTATGAAAAAAATTCTTTTGTTTTCAATGTGACAGACGCGAGAGGAACTTCTGGGGCTCTCGAATCTGAGATGCGCAAATTTGCAATGGAAAAAGACCTGAGTGGAAACTACGTTGTTTTTTGAAATCACCTTTAGTTTGAAGTCCTACATGAATGTTTAGCTGATCAACTGAAAATAGGTTAGTGATAAGCCTTATACTGCTCTAGCTTTTTAACAGTTCTTCTTAAAGCGCCCCCCCCCCTATCCCTTGATCGCAATCAAACTCAGTAACGTATCTCTCCTATCAGGCGACTATTATTTGAGAGTCTTGTTGGAACAAAACGACGGGGAGACGCCGATAACAAATGTGTGAGTCCACGATATTTATCTATCAGGATTTGAAAATATTCAAACTACTGTCTTTTCACAGCAGTTGATATTTAAGAGGTTTTAAAGCGTCTTAATTTTGAGAAGTATTATACACACTTCAATTCAAGCCAGGAACAGTTGATGGAAAAATGAGTCAACTATAGATCCTCCTGCAGGAATCGCTTTTGCGATGCCGGTGAAATGCTCTTGTCACTGAGAACGTATTGTTGACTAATTTTTCCATCAACTGTTCCTGGCTTGAATTTGAAGTGTGTATAATACCACACGAAATTAAGACCCTTTAAAACCTCTAGAATATTCCTGCACCGTGTGAAGTGCCTAAAATCATCTGTTGATATTTATTTAGAACTTCACTTTAGGAATCTGATGAAGAAACCGCGGCAAAAATACAAGATTTGGCGCTTGCTAAGGGCGCTCTACCAAAACGCTTACGCATGGCCATGATTATGCAAAGCACTGATAGACGTTCGCTACTGAACAGGTGCGAATTAGTGTGATAAATTAACAAATTGTTGCAGATGTATAGCCTCGATTCCATCCGGAGGACCTTAGTTGTATTTTAGCAACATTCTTAGATTCATCTTAAAACTTGTGATTTTATAATCCTCTATATACTAGCCATCTGTAAATAGTTCAATTGAAACTAACAAGCATACTCCATAAGTAATTTATAATCTTTATTGTTGGCATATAGGCAATTGAGTGGACATCTAGTGGCTCTCTGGAAAACTGGTCATCCAAGAGCAATGGCATTACTTGTGAGAATAATGTTCGTATTAAAGCAGTTATAGTTTTTAATGTCTAAAATATACAATAAAGTTTAAATGCGGGATTTCCTGTTCGTAAGTTTTGGTTCATAAACCATTATGTAATAAATTTGAATACGATTTTCACAGCCTGCTGGTTTGCTCTATTACCTTGAAAGCCCTGACGAGGTAGGAAATCTTTGAGAATTTTTTCATCTGTAGTTACCGTACGTATTCCATATATGGCAGTGATTGCACAATATATATTTATTATGCAAGAGCAAATACATGACGCTGAACAACAAATACATAACGCTGAAAAGCAAATACATGACGCGCGCTTGGTCTTGGGTCCAAGCTTCCCACTTCGCGGATGTACAAGATGGCGGCTAAAGGCATGGAGTTTTGTTTAGTTTGGTGACTAAAACGTAAAACCTTTGTATGTTTGTGTATATTCAATACATATGACAAGATATTTATAATCTTAAAGGTAGGAACGGCTTAGAACCAAATCTGTATTATATTTATTGTACTGATTGAAAAATAAATATTGCATTACTAATTTTTATTAGGCTAGTCAACTTCAGCAAATGCAATAGCAAAATATTTGGTTTCAAACACAAAAGCTTTTAGTAGTTTATTACTGAGTAATCTACAGTGTGAAGCTGTCAATAAGATTTAATATCCTTTGATATTTCTTACTGCAAATCCATCCTGGACTAAAATCCATTAAATAGAAGAGACGTATTTTGTTATACAGTGCCATATGAAATAGTTGGGCTATTACCTTATCTGCACAGCTGGTATATTACTCTAACGGAATTCAAGAACCCCGTTATTAAGATAGAGCTAGAGGAATATTAGTTTAAAAGAATGTCTCAATAGAGACATCCCTGCACTATTTGATTAACATGGCAACTTGATATATCAGAGTTTATATCATATGCCACTCATGGTGAAATAATTATCAATGATCTTTTCTTATATGGGTGTAGTTCAGCTGTACTGGCTGTGGAATAGCGGCACTGGAACTAGCCACACTTGTTAATACTATTGTAACATCCAAAGACAATAACAAATATGAATGATATTCTACACAGCTGTGTCTACTCACACAGAAACCTTAAAAGAAGCTTTATTTGCTTGCTGAAGCCATTGTGTATAAATATATACATAGAGCCAATATCAAATTTGGTACTTACAATCAGTGTTGGTAGATAGCTGCATATTTGAGGCCAAACAACATCACACTAGTTCTTTGTTCCTTTGTCTTTGCCTTTTATTTTCTTTGTTTTCTTGATAGCACTAATGACAATTTGGCCTCAAATATTTGCATATCTACCAACTCTGCTTACAATATGGTTTTTTAGCAACACAGAAATTGTGTATAAGATTGATTACAATTCAATACTGTACAACACCATAATAATGTCTTCTTGAAATTGTAATTATTACTTGATAGCATCTCCTATCTGCCTTCTGAAAATAGTAGGTTGACTTGTTGATTGTTATTCAAAGTATTTACTGGAAATTACCCATTGTTGCTAGATGACAGGCTGTAAAGTTGCAGTCATGTTACATGTAAGCTGAAATGTAAACAATTAACCCAAGAAAAACCAGTTCGGTGATCAGTTTATTGGTGACATTTCACAGCAATTTTAAACAAAATAGTTTTGTTATACTTTTAGAATATAATATATCTGTACTGTTACAGTAACACTCCCCTTGCTACTTAAATATATATATATTAATATATATATAATATATATATATATAATATATATATATATAATATATATATATATGAATTATGGAAATATTTATGACACAACCCTTAAGACATGCAGGTATGTAAATAGTACACTAGGTAAGAGGCTGAATATTGCATAGATTGTAAATATGCTGAGTTATACATGTATTGCTACTAACTGAAGATCAAAAGTAGGGTTAGCCTCAGAGCAATGCATCTTTTATTTTTTTACCTTGTCGAACACCAGACAATTTTTTCTGCGATGGGCTAATCACATGTATGTGTTGCCACTTTTATTAGCTAATAAACGGTAGCCTCTATAATACATCAGACTAAATATTTGTTTTCTATTGATCTCTATCGGTCAAAGTTCACAGTCTTATAACTTCAGAATAACTTCGGAGGTTAACAATGCCTTCTGTATTTATGTGTTAAATCAGCACTAAACACCCAAAAATTGCCCCATTCTATAATATTTTATGGTAATACTATTTGCAACTTGTGGGAACTATAGAACACTGTGGCCTAAATAATTGAGTTGATGCAACAAATTCTTTATTCGTATTTTATATAAGCCAGCATTACCAAGGGCAACCACAAAAATATTGTAAAAAATATTCTTGCCGTTCAAAGGAGCATAATGGTTTTCTTTTCTAAGTATATGGGTTCGATTCCCATAATGCTCTACTCTAGACTACCGGCTGCAAGAATTTAGAACGAATAATTTTTGGAACTCAAGAAGGTTTCGTAACTTCGTTTGTACATTGCACGTTTTGCTGTAAATGACAACAAAAGGGACGTAATGTATCTCCGAAATGGAAAGTAGGGCTGAGAGTTTTCCTATAAAAATACTGCTTTGTCGGAAAATACCCGGCGCAAATTCTCTCGGTGCCTAAATGCTACAGACAACACGCTGATCGATCAAATCAACGCACAATAAATCAAATCTGATAAAGATTTACAGAGGCCGAAAACTTGATTCTCACACACTGCTGGGAGCCGCTGCAGCATCGGTAGATATTTCCGTTTGACTTGCGTTGGTAACAGGTCATTTCTTCCAAGTCCTTTTGTCCAACTCCAAGTTACTGTACGTCATCGGTCTTTGTAACAAGTCAAGTCATGCAAACTCTGTTGATGGAAACAATAGATAGACACGCACCACTTAGAACCAGGCGAATCAGTAGCAAGAGATCCCCCTGGGTTACAAACGCATTGAGACAATTGATTTTTAAACGAGATTATTTAAAGAAGTAGCAATTTCTACGAAAGATTCACAAATTTGGTGCCAGTGTTGGAAATTTTTTGATAGAATGTTTTCACAACAAATCACAAGGTTTTTGTTCTCTATTTCTGATGTGTAATCACTATAATGCTTCTCAACGATTTTAAATCGATCATGCCCTTGTCAAAAAACGTCAAAAAAACGTTGCTTACATAAATTACATAATTAACATATATTAACGAGATAATCATACTTTCGCACACCAGTATAAATGTATAAGAAATCAAGTCAATAATGAAATAAAAAGCGAAACGACTTTATTTTGCTAATAGTCTCGTTTTACATAAAGGAGACCCTAAACAAACATGAGTATAAGGAGTATAAATGAGTTATACTCTCGAAAATAGGAAAAACTAAGATAACTTAGTGAACAATTAATAACCTCACCTGTTAAAAGAGCCGAAACTTTCAATAATTATTTCTCGAATGTTGGGGATGAATTAGCTCCTGAAATTCCTGTCTCTGAGTCTGAACCAGAATCCTACCTTGACACAAACCAATGCAATTGTTACCCTGCAAATTTCTACGATGGACCATACCAAATAAGTTGCAGCACATGTAATTGCAACTTCTTTGACAGAAATATTTGCAAAATCCATTTATACTGGAATATTTCCTAATGAATGGAAGGAAGCAAGGTTGGGTGTAACGAATGAACCAAGTAATTATCGACTAATTAGGCTGGGGCGGTTTTTGAAAATACCCGAAACCGATAACCGAATAAAAACCCCCAATAAAACCAACAAAACGGTCTTTTAAAACAAAGACGTCGTACGCGGTGTAACTTAATTTAACGACCGACCAGCAATGACTCATACCGTCCGATTACGAGCGGACTTATCGTTAAGAGCTCTGACTTATTAGCAAACGAATTTAACTCTTGTGAGGAAAATAACCATCTGAAGACTGCAGAAAGGGGAAAGTTAAAATGGTGTAAAGATTTCGAATCGCTTCAAATATTTATCGAAAAGGAATTAACTGATTTTAGAGGAGAGTGGTCAACACCTAGAGGCGGTTGTAAAGAGTTCAAGCGTGCTAAATTCAACTTACGTTGGTATGATAAAACTCAAAGTATAATACTTGAGAGAAAAGAATCTAATGCTATTATAGATAAGCTCTTCTCGATCGCACAACAAGAGGAGAAACTATCTGAAGATATGGAATATAGTTACGATGAATAGGCCTTATTGGACATTAGTGACGATCAAAATGGCGACGCAGGCCAAAGAACAAATCTCCTTCAAGAAACAGTTGAAACACTGGTGGACAAAATAGCAAAGTTAGAAAGCAACTTTGAGGAAGAGAGACAGAATACTTTCAGACTTAGCCTTAAGAACTTCTTCATCTACACGAGTCCCGACCACTTGAAGGAGAAAACAACTTCAACAAAGTTGAACGAGCTGAAAGCGAGAACATTGCCCTAAAGAAGGAAAACCAGTCCCTGAGGGAAAAAGTTAAAGCATTAACCAATACCGTCAAAAATTTTAAATAATCGAACTAAATCATCCGAACAAGACAAACAAAGTTTGCAAACGGTGATTAATTAATAAGTTGTGAAATAACCAAGAATAAATCCCATGCATAACGCCACTAAGCCAACGAATGTTGATAGTTCTTTTGTAGAAAACGACAGGAACGAAACAATGCAATATAAAAGAAAGCCACTTAATAAAACAACTTCTGCAGCGACAAATACACTGATAATACGATCAATACGGCGAACCAATACAGCGTACTATCAGAGCAAGAAATACCTAATGAGAACGATTCAGTTATTGAATTTGACGATACGGTGGAAGCAAGCCAGGCGGAAAAGCCTGCTCCGCCACCTGGTGATAACCAAACTTGACATAAACAACGCAATATTCCCGTATCTCAAGCCAATACACAAACTCCGAGCGCTTCATATCGTAGACCTTTCAATGAACAAGAAAGACAAAACAAGCAATACCGGCGTGAAGATATAGCAATTGTGGGTGACTCAATGCTAAAATTTGTCGACAACCGAAGGTCAAGAAACGGAACAAATAAAAACGTTACTGTAAAAACATTTCCCGGGGCGAAAATCGACGATATGACACACTACATTAAGCCTACAATCAACAGAAAACCTCAGCAATTGATTATTCATATTGGAACTAATGATTTATCTACCAA